AACACAAAGATAAGCTGGGATGAGGTGCACGGGAGAGCAGTGTCGTGGTTCAAGCCCAGCCGGCAACTTGGAACCACGCAGCCGCTCGCTCACTCCCCCCCTTTTCCTTCCTCCCCCCGCTCCCGGAGGGATGGGGAGGAGAATCGAAGGAATGTAACTCCCACGAGTTGAGATAACAGCTCTCCAGTAACTAAGGTATAATACAAACCACTACTGCTACCAGTAATAATGATAAGAGGAATAACAAGGGAAAAGGACACAACCGCTCACCACCCGCCGACCGATACCCAGCCCGACCCGAGCAGCGATCTGGGCCTTCCGGGTAACTCCCCCCAGTTTATATACTGGGCATGACGTGCTGTGGTATGGAATACCCCTTTGGCCAGTTTGGGTCAGGTGTCCTGCCTCTGCTTCCTCCTGGCTTCCCCTCCTCTCTGGCAAAGCATGAGACTGAGAAAGTCCTTGGTCAGAGTAAACATTACTGAGCAACAACTAAAACCATCGGTGTTATCAGCGTTGTTCCCAGACTGAAAGTCAAAAACACAGCCCTGCACCAGCTACTGAGAAGGAGAAAAAATGACTGCTGTAGCTGAACCCAGGACAGCAGCCATCAGTGGACCACTCACCTCCCCAGACCTTCTGGAAAGATTATGGACCAGTTTGGTAACAAAAGTTACCACGGGCCAGCTGATGGTACACTATCTGCCACACTGGCTCTAATCCTTGACAAAGGTCCCTCCAGAGGGTCTCACAGGGCAAGGGTGCCCCAGAGCAGCTCCTTTGGCCTTGGCCCGATGTTTCGAGTCATGGGGCCTCACTCGCCCCTTGGTGGCTGAATTTGCTCCTCGGGTGATGCTATTGCTATTTGCCAGTTGCACCTTCCCTGCTCTGCTGCAGTGAAGACTTCCAGGGCTGGAGAGCCACAAGGGCAGCTTGAGGTGGGCTTGGACACCCTGTGGGGACTCCTCCTGAGGGCAGTTTTGGGGCAAAACAACTCATCTGAGGGCAGCTGCACAGGTCAGATGGCTGCTATGTAGGGCGAGCCTGGTGCCTGCATCCACTGAGGGAGTGAGAGGAGTGAAGGGGAGAATGTGGCCTCTTCTCCTCTTACCCCATCCCTCTGGTCAACAGTCACTTGCAGTTACAAGCCATAATGACATCTTCATTCCTAATTAGCTACCTCGCTTATCCTGATTCCTCTGCACCTCTGAGGATCCGGGTGGAGGAAGGAGGAAGGAGGCAGTGCAGACACACAAGACGCGTGTCTCCCTGGTTTCCAAGTTCTCCGAGTAGTAGCTGTTTTCTGCCCCTGTTTGCAGCCAGGCACAATGGCATCTGCGTGGAGAGGAAGGGGGAAAACTGATGGAATTATTTCATATTTTAAAAGCCCAGAGTCAATGTTTACCCACTGGAGCTAAATTATTTATACACATAATGTTATAGGTTTCACTCCAGTGGCTTTTATTATCATTCGAGGGGTGAGAAATCATACCTGACCCACTTGTACCAACCCCTCTCGCACCCCAGCGTGGTGGGAGGGATGAAGGTGCTCGCCCCAGCCCTGCTGCGGGGATGCTGGAACAGTGGCAGAGCCAGTGGAGGGAGATGGGATGTTTCAGCACCTCCTACGAGGCATTTTGCTGCTTTAGATTTGGGGGAGAACATGCAGAAGGGGGGTATTTTTGAAGCACCTCTGTCTTTCTACGTGCAGGATGTGGCCCCATGGGTTTCTCTAGGACCATCCCTAGTGAAGGAGGGACGCGCTTCACGACCTCCACGCAGGGTAGGGTTTGGGGGGGAAGGTTTCTCTGCAGGAGGAGGTGGCTGCCTCAGGAACACCCATCCCCAAACCGATGTGTTTTTCCCCCAGAAGACTCAGCCAGCCACTTCTAAACCAACATGTCACAGGCACTCGAGATGACTTTCTTCTCGTCTCGCAATTAATGCATCTTTTATAAAGCCCAGGCTCCAGTTTCCTTTCATGTTACAGCAGGATATCCTTTTTCCTCTGAAGCTTCAGAAGGGTTCTTTTTCACCCAAAGCATTAATCTCTGGTGTCCTGTGCACAGGACAGAGGGATGCAGTGGCTGAACGGCCCTGCGAGGATGCCGGAGCTCAGCTGGAGCCCACATGTGGGTGCAGGTGGTGTATAAACCTGCCCTGTTTTAAAACCCAAGCCACACTTTTGGGCACGATTTGCAGTGCAGAGCAGGTGAGTCAAAATACTTGTTGTTTGGCAAAGGATGGATTTGTTCCATCCAGCTGGAAGATCCCTCATTGTGTGAGTAATGGGCTACAGTCAGATCTGAAGCCAGTTTGTGGGCTCGTGGAAGGCGCTGGCAATCGCTGCTGGCCTTGTGAGGCTGAAGGAGCAGGTCCATGGGAACCTCGGGAGGTTCAACAACGCCAAGTGCAAGGTCCTGCACCTGGGTTGGGGCAACACTGGTGTCAGTACAGGGGTGAATGGATTGAGAGCAGCCCTATGGAGAAGGACAGGTAGGCAAGAGGCCAAGAGCATCCTGGCCTGTCCCAGCCCCAGTGTGGCAGCAGGGCCAGAGCCGGGATCATCCATCCCCCTGTGCTGGGCACTGGTGAGGCTGCACCTCGAACCCTGTGTTCAGCTCTGGGCCCCTCACTGCAAGAGAGACATTGAGGTGCTGGAGCGGGGCCAGAGAAGGGAATGGAGCTGGAGCAGGGCCTGGAGCACAAGTGTGATGGGGAAGGGCTGAGGGACCTGGGGGGTTTAGTGTGGAGAAGAGAAGGCTCAGGGGGGGCCTTACCGCTCTCTGTAACTACATACAACCTGCTTTAGTGGAAGGTGTCCCTGCCTGTGGCAGGGGTTGGAACTGGATGAGCTTTAACGTCCCTTCAACCCCAACCAGTCTGTGATCTATGTGTCAGTAGCTCTTTCAGTTCTCCCCAGTGGGGACGGCTGCGCCGACTCAGGCCATGTCACACCAACGCAGGACGTTCACTCGGCTTCAGTAGGTCTGTGCAGCCACTGAACTGTAAAGGAAACTCTCCCTTGACTTTTTACCAGCCATTTATCCCTGGTGCTCCGTTCACAGCACGGAGGTGTGCCGAGCCGCTCGCACACTCCGCCGGCTCCTTGTAATTGATGGAAGATTACCAGGAACATGTTTTTGCAGGAAATATTTTCCAGGGCTAAACAGCGTTTGATAAGGGTGTGATAATAAATTACCACGCATCTCTCTGTGCAGCTACTCCAAATTACGAGTATGGGTTTGTCCTTCCTATGTGTTGTTTCCATAGAAGCAGAGCTTAACCTTTTAAGTGCAGATTATAAAGGCACCTAATTCAATTAAAATTAGACTTCAAGCATATCAGCACTTAATACTCGAGAGTTATTATGTGATTGGATATAGACGTTGTTGTGATTGGCAGGCAGCGTGGTTTCCCTCTGAGCCAGCTGGCATGGTAAGGTTTAGGGTTTTCCTATACATTTCCCTCTGCCACCCACTAATGGGTGGATAATTCCTCCGGAAGATGGGAATGCAGCACAGAAGACAGGGACACACGTGCAATTAAAGTTATTTATTGTAGGTTTTCTCTTCTTGAACTGACAAAGAGGGTTTCCCAGAGATCCATATCACGCCACAATGTTATACACCATTTCACAACTAGTCCCTTGTTGCTTTATTAAGAACATAGTCATTTAAAAATAGCTAAATATTTACATATTAATAAAACATATATACAGAAGATTGAGACATTTTTTACCTAAATATGGAATGATTTTTCTTCCTTTTTTTCTCTAATAAACCCTATAAAAAGATTTCTGAAGAAAGCCTGAACAGTAGTCACAGGAAGGAGACACAAATGCAATCTTCCAAAGTTACAAAACGCTGATTCCTTTGCTGAAGGGATACGACACGGACACGACAGAGCGGTGCCCCCTGCCCAATACAGGCAACTCCAAGCCACGAAGGAAGGAAAAGACTCAAATCTTAAGGTTTGCAGTGCACATTCAATCTATTCCACAGCTTCAGAGAGAACACGGGCATTCCTAAGAGTCCACAGGAGGTGTGTGGGGAAGGGCTGGGAGCCTGGTTTCTCAGGTGCCAGGAGAACAAAGTGATCCCATTGGCTTCGGGGTTGTTTGTGGGCATTCGGTGACATCTGAGAAACAGGCTTTAGGATTGTTAAAGAAAGAGATTAAGTGTTTTGACAACCATCCCACTCTGTAATAGCACTTCTGTTGAGACACCCAAAGGCCAAACAGTTTCAAACCCGAAGAAGATGCAGCTAAAATATCCACAGGGAAATGAAACACAGCAGTGAAGGCTCTAGCAGCTCTCCCTTGAATTCCAGGACACACGCTCAAACTACCTGGTGATGGATGATGCAGGTTAAGACCTGCCAGACTTTTTCCCAACATCTTTAAAGTGAATTTAGTGCTGATGAAGGTGCAGAAGTGAAGGTTTGCATGGAGGGCACATACGATTTTACCTTAGCCCCGACCCGAAAGGACTGACCCTTTCAATGTCTAAGAGGATAGTGCAATGTCTTGATCGATTCACTCATCTTTACTGCTGAGACATCAATCGAGTGCCAGGGAAAAGGTGACTGTAGTTTAAAACATGGTTGAATATTGTTGCCAAGGGCAATGGCTGAAAAATCACAGTGTGCAGACCCTCTTCCTGGAAATAAGCAACCTATAATGGTTTGAGACTGAAGTACAGGGCAAATGAGGGGAGAATGACCACCTCCAGCCATCTGCACTGCGAAAATGCTCACGAGCCATCTCAACAGGACCACATAGGGGGAAACTGTCTGAGGAATAGCTTCTCCTTGCTATAATTAGGAAACTGGGCACTGCTGGGAGGAATCCTGGTCATTGGTAGCACAGCAGCCAGGATAGGAAAAGCAGGTCTGCAGAAGCAAAAAGCTTGGCCAAGTCAAATGCTCATCGAGCCCCTGGGTTCCTGATGGAGAGAGATGCCTGGGGACAGGAAGAGTCTCCCGGCTGTGTGTATTCACCTCTGTGTGGCTTCAGATGAAACACTGCTGGCAAGCGTGACAGTCACATGGAAAAACACAATCATGGAGGATAAACAGGAGGATGTCTTCAGAGTGGCTGCCCCGCTAATTAAATAGTGCATTGGATGTGGAGGGAAATCACCTTTAATTAAGATGAAGAAGAGTGAAGCGATCGGGTGGCTTCGTGATTTGAGGTTACATGGAAAATGCATGAAACGACACAAACTTGAAATGAAAGCAGTGTGTGTTGTCCATGTCTTGTGGTACACTGAAGCTCTCGTGCCGAGCTGGTGGGAACGTTATCCAAAGGAGGGGATGTTTCTATCCGCTATGAACACTGATGCGGGATGTGAAATTCAAGTGGAAAAATCCAGGTTTGCGTCTATCAGATGATCTGTTGTGGTGTCGAAAAGGTTACCTGAGGGGAGAAACAGGGAGGAAATCAGCTAAAAATACAGGAATTCAGGAAATCAGTCAATTATCCCCAAAAAAGGGAAAAATGAAAATGATGGGAATTACATATTGGAGTTCTACCACGTGCTGGGGCTGAGCTGCTGGTGTGTACACAGGCAGCAGCTGCTGGATTCCGCTTAGAGTAGGGCTCAACTGGCTAAAGAAAACCAAATTAGAGTTTTTTGAATCCATATTTGCCAGCCAAGTTTCTCACACAACATCCAGTGCCCCCACTTCAGATGCCAAGTGCTGCATTAGAGCCCAGAACAAACTGCACTGAGATGCTCACCCCTTTGAAGTTAGGTTCTGAAGAAGGCAAGAGGCACCACATGAATTTTAAACCTCGAGTACATACTTTAGGATCTTCTTTGCAGCGGTCTAAATGCATATGGGAGAATATATATATAAATACCTATCTATATTATATAGAGATATGAAAAGGTGCACGGTATGATTATATCCCATCTTTTTTAAAGCACTTTAAGAATGTGCTTTTTCTAAACAGAACAATGAAAGATGGACAGAAGAATTACAAGGAGCGCGCTAAGAACACAGGGCAAATAGGAGACAGACATCAATCAGCCTGAGAGGCAAATGCAACCCAATGAAAAGGGAAGAGTCATACAGGCATGCACTGAAAGGATAAAGATTTATATTACAATAAAGGATTTGTATTTAAGGTTTCGAAAAGGGTTTTTATTGTTTGAAGTTTCATTTTCTTGATATTGTATTTCAAGAGAAAAGGAGACAACCTGTATAGAATCGGCTCGTTGCTGTTTTCTTATCATCTGTTTCTTTACCAAGAGATTGCTCTCATCTTCTCACAAAACTGTGTCACCTCTGGACCTGAGGATTGGGATGTCAGTGTTTCGCCTTCTTTTAGGGATATCAGAATTCTTTCTCATCTTGAAATTAACCCCAGTGTGGAGAAACTACACAAACTCTCAGCACAGCTGTGGCCCAAACCAGGGGCATAAGGGGGACTCTTGCATGGTCCTGGGCTGCATATATCTTACAAATCCAATTTTCAGGACAAGGATGCAAAGAATAGGGTGGTGCAGCTGCCTTGCATCCGTTTCCACATGCAGAACTTAGGGGTTATGCCCTCCTGTTGTTCCTCTTTTAAAACACAAGATCCAGATGCTTTGTGTCAATTGCAGACCAAAATAAGATGAGCCTTTTGGCAGTATCAACTTCTATAGAAAGACTCTAAAAGCTGCCACATCTTCATCCTGATAAAGACCTACCTCACACCTTGTATCATAGAATCACAGAAGGGTTTGGGTTGGAAAGGAACTTAAGATCATCCAGTTCCAACCCCCCTGCCACGGGCACTGAGAAACTAATCAGTCTTTCCTCTTAGTCAGTGGTAATTACCCCCAGGGCTCTCTGACCCATCTCAGCTCAGGTCTGGACACAACCTTCAGCTTCTGGTAGGTGCTGTGGAAGCCCTGAGCTTTGATAACATTTGTTAGAGGCAATTCTAGCATTTTCTTGAGATTTATGTGTCAATGGACCAACTTTCCCAGCAAGTTTCACTGCCACGGTTCTTCCAATTCACTTTAAACACCCTTCAATCAGTGGCTTTTAAAGCAAGGGACCTCTCAGCATTGATGGCGATTTTAAAACAGGAGCATGATTTCTGCTCACAAGAGCTAAAATCTAATCGGGAAGAAAACGTCTTCCTTAGTTTTATGGGGATGTACCAGCCCCAATGTTCTACAGGGCTTCAGAGTTCCAGAAAAGGGTTTAGAAAACAAAACACCCCGTGTGCTCCTCAAAGCCCAGCACTTTGCTAATGATGGGCAGGTTCAGACCCAGCTGTAGGCACCTATTACTGCACAGAGCCCTGTCCTGCTGGCACCTCCAAACAGGACCTAATTGGATCTGACCTTCTCTCTGGAAGCAGCCCTCTTCCCATGAGTGATGAAGAGAGCAAGAGCAACCGCACTTCTGACTGAGGTGTCTCCAAGGAAGTGTCAGACAGAGGCTGTGATCTCTAAACACGAAGGTTGAGGCATTGCTAGTCCACACATACCCAGATCTTGTTCACAATGTCACCAGTGTCGCAGGCAGCACTGCCTGAGCAGATTAAAAGCATCCTTTTTTTTGGCACCAGCACTTACTGTTGATTCAGATCATCCACTTTGGGTGCTTTTGCTTCACAAGTTTGCTCAATTCTTGAAGACCGGAGAGCAACCATCTGATGTCTGCCCTAGACAACTTCTGTACCCCTCCTTTTCTCCCCCGATCCAGTCTCCTGCAAGGCCCACCCCCATCAAGCAGCCCAATTCACTCTGGTTTTGTTCTACCAACACACCAGGTTAATCACTGATCATGGCATTACAGAATCATTTAGGCTGGAGAAGACCTTCAGATGATCAAGTCCAACCCAGCACTGCCAAGTCCACCACTAAACCATGTCACTAAGTGCCACATCTACATGTATTTTAAACGCCTCCAGGGATGGTGACTCCACCACTGCCCTGAGGAGCCTGTTCCAATGTCTGACAACCTGTTCGGTGAAGATATCTCTCCTAATATCCAATCTAAACCTTCCTTGGTGCAACCTGAGGTCGTGATTTATCTGCTATTAGCTGTCATCTGCAACCGAGGCCCATTGCAGCAGGCGTTGTACAAACGCACAGTCAGAGAGACTCTTCCCCAAAGAGTTTTCAAGCTAAACAAAGAAGACAGCTGAATAAACCACACAAAGGCTCTCTTTAAAGAACTTGCCAGTAACCCCCCTTTACAAAACCAGCTACGCTGACAGGGAAAGACCCCTCTAAAAGTTATATTCCACCTCTTTTGCTACAGTCCTTGATAAAAAGCATCTGTAGTTTGGCTCTCTATCATAATTACTGTCATTATACTGTCTGAATATCACTTTAAATCACTTGCTTCCAAGAACAGTATGATATTACACGGATACGTGGTATAAAGAGGCTCTTGCACACGTACAATACCACAACCACCTCGGCACATCACCAGACACGTACAACGTGAGTAGTAACTACAGCCACCGCGTCCAAAGAAGAGCACAACCACCCCGTAATTCTCCTCCACACAGCCACCAGAGCAATGAAAAGATAACGCTGCGTCGCATTAGCAGCCTTTATTAGGGTCCTCTTGCAACAGAACCGCTTCCCTCCCTGATAGAAGCAACGAACAGGATGTCACTTGGAAGAGACCTTTCAAACCAGAGCTTCCTGCATCTATTATCACAGCCGTGCCCTGAAACGCTATTCAGAGGCTGGCCAAGCAAGCAGCACGGTGGCTCCCAGGCAGCGCGTGCTCCCAGCCCCCCCTGGGCCCATGCCAGAACAAGACTATAGCTGCTTGTCCTCCCGAGTGCTTCGCTGGTCCTATTCCTTAGTAACTGCACGTGCTCCGACAGCGGGATTGCAACCGGCAGCGCTCCACGGCTGGCAGCTGCTGCTCCGGCACACAGCAGCAGTGTGTGAGAGCTCCTTCCTCCAGCCCCTAAGCGAGAGAGATTAGGAAGCCCTTGCTATGATAGTACTACTGCTCCCCATAGCCTCCAGGTAGCATGCGCTGCGCTCAGCAGCACTGCCCTGTTCTTCGCAGCAATCTCCAACCACCCTTTGTTGTTACACCTTAGAAACGTGATAAAAACACACCATAATCCACGCTGTTTGTCTGGACCCTCCCTCCTTTTCATTTAGCTTTGGGGATAACATGTAAATTACAGGGAAATGACTCTGCAGTGCAGGGAAATGTCGTTCTCCTCACACTCTGGCCCTGCTGGATCTTCAGAGGGTGGCAGCTCAGCTCCTGCCATCAGGGCACCTATTGATGGACTGACTCTTAACAAGAGGGTGCTTCAAATTTCAGTCTCAGCCCGTCTTGATTTCAACACCATGTGCAACAACGTGCAAAAATCTTCCTTCTTCGCCCACCCAGCTAAGCTGCTGCTCAGCAGCTGTCAGGCTTTTGAGGGGGGCTGCACTTCAAGGAAAGGCAGCCCAACGCTTAACTAGCACACAACTATCTCTGCAATCCTTCTGTGAACCCGACATATGACTGCTGATACCTTGGACAGCTGAGCACATGCTACAGTACAAATTATTGTGTTCGTCCCTACCAAAAACCTCCCAGAAATACCAGTGGTGAGCACAAGTCTGGCGTAAGAATGGTAATTTACTCACTAGCTTAGCTGCTGCCATGAACCTTGAGGCTTTATGAATATGAAACAGAGGGGGAAATAGAGGGGTAAGATTCTGATGCATTTGGTTTTTAACACAGGCCATCGAAAACTTAAGAAAGCGGGGTCCTGTGTGCAATTACCTGCCTGTATGTGGCACGCCAGGAGTATTGAAAACTGCTTCTGTGCCAGAAATAAACAAATACATTGGAAGCTGATAAAAATTTGAATGCATTTTACCTGTTTGTAGGAGAGAAATGTCCGGCTTCTCATCACAGTCAGGTGCCTCTGCTGATTGCAAATATAAACAAGAAATCTCATTACTTTGACTGAATACGGGAAGGCGATTAAAAAGCTGCATGTTCTAGGAGTGGTTTTGCATTTTCTGTCTACTTTCCTCAGATGCAATTTGCTATTGCTCCGTTTAAAACCTCACTGCTTGGAGGAAAAGGTCATATAATAAAAATGCAAACTTAGAAGAGAGGAGTTGGGTATTCGGAAGCAGTTGTGCCAGTGACGGGATGGAGTAAGGCTTGCTCTTGTTAAGGTTTTAGGATATCTGGATGATAAAAGGAGTAGTGAGCATTTGCTAAAGTCATGTCAGGAATGTCCCCAGCGGTCCTTGGAAGGCTGGATCTCCACCCTTTGACAGCTGCCATCATCCACTGCCTTTGGGGAAAGGCTGAATCCCCCCATTCCTGTCCCCAAACTTCTGTGACCACAGACGAGCTCGTTTTACAGGGCACAGATTTACAAGGGCAAAGTGTCTTCAAAGATGCAGTGATTAAAAAGGCACGTAAGCACGCAGGGACACGGGCAGCTACAGTGTGTGTATACACACGTGCTTTCCACCCACAGCTTAGGCAAGATCATTTGTCTTCATTTAGCCCACGGTGAAGGAAGGCTAAAAGCCTGATGTGTTCACCTCATATTTGCCACAGGCCAAGGGTATGCATAAAGACAGCTGATGTGGCTCAGCGGATGTGCAGTGACTTGTTAGACTGTAGTACCCTGGAGTGTGCATGTGAACCCCGAGTAAGTTACAAGTGTGTAACAGGAAATCAGTGCCTAATCTGCACAGGCCTCATTCAGAATCCTGTTATCTTTGTCTTTTGGCACTTCAGCATGGTATTTAAGGCCTATAAAACACAATGAGATGCTTGAAAGCACTTTGGCAAACTAGGTGTGGTTATAAAGGACCAGCCCATTACACTGGATGGATATACATCTACTTACATCCACGTATTACAAAATATCCATAGGGATCAAATCTGACCAAGGCACCCACTGAGCAACTTAGTTCAGCTCCCACTTGGAACGAAGCTAACTGTCCTGGTCATCTTTATCACTGCTCTGCACATGAGGATGTTGAGTTGCTGCCTTTATGATGATATTGTAAGAACTAACCCAGCTCCTGATGTACATTAGTTTCCTAATGTAGATCCACCATCCCTTGGCTATCCATCACTGGACCAAGAGGCTGCTCTCTCTTCCACGTGCATGGATGTCAGTTGAGTTTTTACCTGTTTGCTCCCTACTCAGTTCTGCAAAATTAAATGAATTAAAGAAAACAGAAGCAAACTAAAACCCATGATACTGAGCAGCTTTCCTCCCACAGAAGGTTTAAATGGAGAGCACTGACAAGTATACATGGCACAGGCCTGCAAGTGACCTTGTATCGATACCTGTTTCTGCTTTCTGTGAGAAGGTGGCATGGTGGGCAGAGACAAATCAGGTGCTCTGTACAGCTTACTGTGAAAATATGGAATACTGGAAGGAACGGGTGGCTCAATAAATAGGAAGAGTTTACCTAGGCTGGTCTGAATGTGGACTGGACTCCCAGTGATGGAAGGACTGGATGTGCAAGGGAGAAAAGAGCATGGTGAAACAAACAGCTGAGAAACAGCCAACAGCATATACACAGCTTAAAAACTCTGACAGTCTGAGGCCAGCTTCTGTGTCATGAAGAACTACCTGCACCAAGCTACTCAGCAGAGACAAAGCTGTAACTGGCCCATTGGGCTGAAGGGATTGATGCTATGAAAACGGGGGAAGCCAGATCTGTGTGCTAGCAATGGGCTGCAAAAGTGTCTCCTCTATCAGCACCAGGGTTAGTACCAACCAGGCTGAGAAACAGCCAACCACTCAAGTGATAGTTCCCTGGAAATCTCTGCAGCAACCCTTGAGGTAGCTCTAGAGATGGAGTAACCTTTCTGCCTAAATGCTCTTCTTACATATTCTGAACTCAAGAGGAAGGCAGTGATAGAGAAAGGAACAAATGGAAGCTGGGAAAGAAGATAAGGACTTGAGCCTCCAACTCTGCAGAACCAACTTTGTGCCATTTTAATGCAGCACAAGACTGATAGGTGAAGTGCAGCTCTCCACCAACTGTTCCAGTCCTGTTCCTCATGCCAGCACAAATGTTTATAGGGTCACCAAGATCAGATCTCATTCAAAACTGACAACATCACCACACGAATGCTTGTGCCAGCACCAGAACGGGAGTGGGAGCACAGCAGATGCCCAGAGAAACTGCTCCCTCTTCTCAATAGCTGCCTGAATTTGTTTTATGAAACTGGATGTGTAACCGCAGCTCCAGGTGAAGTACAACACAAAGACATGGCAAACACCTCGACCTCCCAACATCGATGTAAACCACCACCTTTCCATATATCATTCCAAGCAGGAAAGAAGGTTTGCTTTTGACAACCGCACCCAGAGACTGCCAGCCAAGCTTTACTTGTCTTGAGCCAGCCTGCAAGACAAGGCAAGCAGGAAGAGAGGCTGCTGTGGGAATCTGGAGTCTCTTTTCTGTCCTTCACTTAGATGGAGCTCAGTAGCTCTTACGAAACAATCCCAATAGTAATTTCCTTATAACCTGCCCTAAAACAACAGGAAAAATAACACTGTTTAGCTTCTGATGTACATGTTTGTCTGGTAAGTGCTGGTTTGCTCCTCAGACAGAAGTACCTGTATGTCACAGCTGGGAAGATGAATGCAGCAGTTACTCAGTTTAATATTGCTGCCTCTGTCTAAGATATCATAGCATATGTTGGACTTGCATCCTCCATCCTTCCCGGCCCTGTGTGTACTACTAAGCCAAAAAAAAAATAACCTAATCTCTTGCAACATGTAGATATTGTGTCAAAGACACAAAGCAGGGAAATCAGAAGGATGAAGAGAAAGAGAAAGCAAAAAAAACCCCTCATATGAAACAATGGAAGCAGCAGTTTGAACAAGGATGTGGGAGTAAAGGCCTATTTCCAGAAAAGAAGGTAAGCATCTTTTCTTCCTTCATTCCCACTACTTTACACTGCAACAAGGTAATGTTAATTTTAAACAACAATTCAAGGATGAAGCGGCACAGCATGTAATTTATTTAAATTAATCCTGCCTGGAAAATGTCAGCATGTTTTCTAACATTGCCATATTTTCCTTTATGGAATAGGGCAATCAAAAGCTTCCAAGTTATGCACAAGGTAATCACTTTGCATGAATAGCTCTTACCCTGTGTTCTTTGGCCATAGTACTCACACAGGATCAGCTTTCCTGTCTGTGCAATGGACTACTACTGCTGAGTAATGGCTTAGAGGCTCTTCAGACCATAAAAAGGGAGGAAGAACTTACTGTGTGGCCCCTGACCTACTGCTTATTAATGGATGGAGAGTTTAGTAATCAAAAGGCTTGGATGCTACGTCTGGCACAGAGGTGACTGGAACAGCCAGTCAGTTCCTTCTGATTGTACCTGGTTTAAGATCTCTATGCTAATGGTTGACTGTCTCCCTCTGTGCTGCCACTGGCAAGGCCACCGGCCACCTACCCATGTTCTCTTCTGCAGGGTGAAGAAACCACACCATGGGAAACCTACCACTGTAAATCACAAGGCAATCTGCATTGTAATTCACACTGCTTTAAGAGAGGAAACCTTGGCACATGCCTTTTCCTTTGACTTCTTCCCTTCCAGGGCCACTTTACATCTCATCCCAGCATCCACAAAGGTTCAGCTTCTCTGCTGGGAGAAGACAAGATCTGGCACGATGAAGCCATGCCCCATGCGCTGTGCTGTTGGCATGACATGGGACCAGTAGCCAAGGCTGAATATTATCACACTCTTTAATTTTAACTATAACATCTGTTTGTAACATTAACCTACAGTCTCTTCTCCCCTTTGTGACAGCCAACTTGTGAAATTCTGAAGAGACTGAACAAGGCCAATAAAAATTTAATGGCAGTGACAGCTTTATTCTCAGATCTAACAAATAAAAAACCTTACCCCAGCCTCAGATCTCAGGCAATAATCTGAAAGAACTAACAAAAAAACCCAAAGCAAAATAAAGAAATTAAAAAGAAGAATATTTCCAGCTATGAAAAAATATTGTCACTGATTTGGAAGTTAAATGAATTTTTATTTGGCTCAAGATAACAACCTTCCAAATCTGCACAGGGGAAGTATTTTCTAGAAAGCAGCATTTTTAAGGGTTTTTTTTTTTATTAGCTTTCAGTGTAGGGGGCTTTTCTGTCCTTAATTCTAGGAGATGAGGCAAACATCATAAATAAGGTTGAAGCTGGGCAGCATCTATGATCCAGCGATCATGGAAACACTCTGCTGAGCACGCCCTATAGAAAGGGGTACAAGAAGCAGATCCGCCCCACTCATTTGCTGGAATTCTCTGAAATGGTGAGTACCACTGAAAGCAAGAACAGGCTTTACATTATCAGCCTGGAATAATGTTTCACAGGATAAAGCAGAGAGGGCTGCTCATGAATGCAGTGTCCTACTGCCTGCTTTGAGATGAAGAACTAATCAGAGGATGTGCTAAATGGCTCAGGGCAAAGCAATCAGGATGGGAAACCTGCCTCTCCTCTCTTAAATACTTCCTGTTAAAATTTAGCCCAGCTCAGTGGTGACTAAAAAGTTGAGTCGTGGCTTCTGTAAAATAAATGGATCATCTTAAGCTTTCTCCATAGGAAGACTGCACATTAAGACAAACCAGAAACCGATGTAGACACATTGGTGCCATCAGGCAGCAGGGAGACACTGTGGCTCACAAAGCCTCAGGTGGATTTATCTTAACGCTGGCTCAGATGTGTTCTTTGGGCACCTTAGTCTATGCCCACAAACTGAGCCAGCACGTTTCAGTGAGCAAGTGGAGACAAAACTAAAAGAGAATGACCTGGGAGTATGGACACAAGGATACTCGTTCAGGAGGGCTCAGCCTCTGCCCAACGAGCCACACACAGACTGGAAGAGCTCAGCTGGAAGAGTGATGAGTCCCACATCTCAGTGGCTGCAACTCCCATAGTTTTCAGATTCTTAAAAGCTAAGTTTTGTAACATGGAGTCTTGGGACACCTTCTCCCCACAGCAGATCAAACCTCGCCCCGCGCCTGCTCTCCCCTCCTGTTCTGGTCTCCTAAGTTACACACAGCTGTAACAATTTTGGTATGGTTTCACATTCAAACATTCCAACATCCTTCCCTCAGTCCTACAGACCTCCCCAGGCATCTGCTAACAGCCATGGTTGGAAACAAAGTATGGGGCTCAATGGATCTGCTGCTTCATCAGCTTTACATCCCTCATATCAGAAGCTCGTGGTTGTAACAGAGGTCCTAACAAATCTTATTTCAACAAGATGAAGGTGTTACTGTCTGCTCCTGCCTCTCTGCTGCTGTCTACTGCTTTGCTGCCACAAAGGCTGGGGAAACTTCCTATTTGCTTCAGTGCAAGGGCAGGTTGGGTTGGCTTTGGCCACCCGTGGATATGGCAGAGGAGGGTAAGGTGCAGATAGCCACTGAGGTGTGTTCAATCACTCCTGCAGCACCAAGAAGAGCTGTGGCCTCATGTCAGAGAAACCAGTGCACTTCAAGGAATAGCCAGTAAACTAAACACAAAAAAAGAGCTTTTTTACCTAGCTAGGTACCATGTACTGTTTTTTCAGCAAATAAACCCAAGGGGCTGACAGGTACATTGCTGCTCACTCCTCAGCCACACACAGTGAGTTACCTTCCCTCTGCAGACAGAGACAGGTATTGGAGCCTATCTTACTCATTCCCTCAATACTCAGCTTCACTTATTTTTCTTCCTAGTCTTGCTAGCTGAGAGACAATATCCTCTGCTTAGACCCTCCCATCCTGAGAAAGGACCAGAGATGGAGGTGGCCCTGTTTGAAAGGCAAAAGCTGAACGTCATTGTCATTTTAATTAATATCCTGCAGAGGCACCAAGAAAAGCAAATAAAAAAGGAGGAAGGAAAATAAAAATCAAAACAAAATTAGGTCAATCCTCTTCCCCGAGGGATCTTCTGCAGTCAGCCAAGGACCCTCTGCTCCCCACATCTTGCACTGCACTCGCACCTTACTGAAGCCTGGAATCCCACTTCCACCCTCCTGTCCTGGGGGAAGAGGCAGCTTTGGAAGGGGCAGAACTCAGTCCTGTTGTACAACACCAGTAATCTGGCACTGGCTTTAACAAGATTATCTCATATCCCTCTCTTCTCATAAGAAGGAGGACATAAGAAACCTACACATAAGAAAACCCTTTTCAAGGCTAGTGCTGGTTCACTTCCCCACTAAGGGAAGCTTATCCTACTGAATAATGTGTGCTTTTTTTCTCCCCCGTGTTCTTTCTGTCTCTGGGTGTTTCTCATTTTCCTCATTCTTATGCTTTTCCCTCTTGGCATTAATAATGCGGAGAATGGTTTCACATGCTTGTCTAAGTGTGTGTTTCAGAGTCACAGCTTTGGACAGAGAACATCGTCTCTCTGAGACAGGGAGCTGGAGAGGACATCTCCTGTGATCCTGCTCAACCCCCCCCATAGCCATGGGAACCACCAGCATCCCCTGCAGAGCCATCAGGTCTCCCATCCCATCAGCTTGTGGATGCTAACAGGCATGTAATTGTGGTGTGGGCAGAGTGAAGAGGGGAAAAGGCAGGCAGTTAAATATGGTAACAGTGAAGGACCGTGTTTAAGGACACTGGCACAACTGATGTGCCTCAGACAACAGTGTCAGATGCTCTGAGGGAGAGATGGGCAAGAAATACAACCACAAGAGAGCCTTAAGAAAACACTAGGATAAGGAAAAGCGAAGCTTCGCATGAAGAAAGTCCCTTGTAGGATTAAAGAGAAGATGGGAAGGGACTAGTTAAGGTTTATAAAATATTTACATATCTCTTAATCAGTGATACTGCTTTCCCATGAATCCTGCCAGGGATTTTGACTCTGCATGTTGCTGTTTGTTGCTGGAGCTGTGTCCTGTTGGGGTGAAAGCCTAGTGCACAGCCCTCACCACAGGCTGGACCTGGCCCCAGACACGTAGGTTATCCCAGCCCAAGTTGAGCAGCTCTGCTGCAGACCCCTACCTACATTACCTGCTCACTGCTGGCAAGCTCTCTCCCATGTATTGCAGAACCTTGCTGGCACAACCAGGGTGGGAATTTGTGGGTGTTTTTTGCTACAGGGATGTCGATTCTTTCACAAGGAATGTGAGAAAACTCATCTATGCTTCCAGACACACACACAGCTTAAAGGGAAAGGGCATTTGGGTTGTGTCTTAACAGTACAGTGAGGGGCTCGTCACACCAATAGCACAGAATTAAAGACTTCTACTTGCAATTCTGAATGGATCAGCTAGTTTAGGACTCAGATTTCATCAAACACTTCGAAGAAGAGTTTGGGTGCAAATGGAAACGGGTTAGAGACAACATTTGAGAAAGACTTAAAGTTAACGTGGCTGCAAAGACAGTTTCTAAACTTGCTACCACACCAAACATAAGGAAACACTTTACACAGAGACCTGCTAAAATCCGAGGGGTCTTGTTTTCATAGAGTGAACATGTGCAGCTCCACAGTCAACAAGAAAACACTTCTATGGGTACAAAGGCTCTAAGCTTTTAATCTTACACTCACATGTTGCTCCGTGAATTTTTACATACCTGAGCCTCTTTTTAACCGTCTTCTTGCAAGTTTAATTTGATCCTGAAGAATCTGGACCCAGTCCCTAGGACCAGGCAGTTTATCCACATGGTTAGCTGTGCAGTACTTTTCTGTAAAGACTGAAATAAAAAGATACCATCTTTTTGAAGTGTTCCACCAGGATGGAGAAAAGGAGACTGGAAAGGATTTGAAACAAAATATATCCACAATAACAAAATTAACCACTCATCAAAAAGCATTTAAATGGCCAAATCTGGGATTGCAAGAATAAAGCCCAACTCAGCGTTTCACGAGTTCATCATTCAGATGTCATTTGTGTGTATAAATATCACAATAATACCATAGTTACTCCTTATAAAAGCCTATTCCAGAGAAACAGTCTACACCTGAGCTCTTCCATTCATGAGTTTCACACAAAAACATCATGGAAAAATAGCAGGGTACTTTGAAAAGAGCCTCCAGATGTGGCAGGCACTTGTAAATGCTGCCTCCCATATGGTACAAGGAGAGAGCTGAAGATGTGCTCATTCGATGGCCTCTTGGTCAGCATCCTAAGGCTTTAGGCAAAACAGATGACAGATAGAAGCTCTCCCTCTGTGGAAATCTCTACAGTTTTCATATTGCCAAAATAATAGGATGTTTATAATGCCACTAAAACAAAAAGCCATTTTTGAGAAGAAAGAAGCATCCTACAGGTCCAATGTCATACTTGGTAAAAATGCTAAACAGAAGGTCAACATTAGCTTTAACTCCATATTTATTGCAACTTCAGCAATGTTAGACCCAAAATACAGGATTATAAAAGGAGTGAAACTGATGCAATTGACTTTCATCACGCAGCTGAGAGGTGTGCAAAAACTAGACAAGAGTAGAAATAGAAAACAAAATGCATTATTTCTCTTAGCATTGCTATTGTATCCTGGTCAGAGGTCTCAGAGCTCAGTGTCCAATTATGACTGGGAAATAAAGAGAGAAAAGTGGTCCCAGATGAAGGAATATGTAAACCTTGAGAATGAATGTCACACAAATGGGATGGGGAAGCACGAAACAACAAAAAAGACCATTTCAGTATTTTTATACACACCCTTTAGAAGCAGTGCCAGCTGCTAAGTGTAAGGGGATTGAAAATAATCCCACCCTCCAAAGTCTTTGCACGTTAACAACTTCACAAAACCACTGCATGAAAGGCAATAGCAGTACTTTCCTCTGTAGTCTGATCAGCAAGGCTGTCAGACCAAATGTGAGGGCTTCCCAGAGAAGTCAGTGCAGCTCCACACATTGCCAGTGTCTGATCTGCAACCATTATGGCCTCTCTGAAAGCAGAAATAATGCTTCCCTTCTCAATCCCTATGGTACCTGACACAACAGGAACCTGGTCAATGACTTAAAGACTCCTACTTACTTGAAATATGCAGCTGCAGTTCCTGCTTGTGAGCAGGGCATGGGGACAATCTGTGACACTAGGCTGTACCCAGTGCTGCAAGTGCCTGCAGCTGATTACAGCTGCTGCCCACTGTTGCCTGCACTGGAAGCCAGAGTCTGGCAGCCTTGGAGAACCAATGTGTTAACTTGCTTCTCTTCTCTAACTTGCTTCTTCCCTTGAATGAAAGTCAAAATAGCTCTGATTGCTCAAGATGTGGTTCGGAAGCCACCAACGTAGGCGAAAAGGAATGGGAATGCAATAGGAAGGAGGCAGGAGAAGTGGGATCTCCCCTTTCTAGTCCACCTGAGCTAACAACTCCTCTATTATAGAATCGTAGACTGGTTTGAGTTGAAAAGGACTTTTAAAGATCATCAACCCCCCTGCCATGGGCAGGGACAGCTTCCACTAGAGCAGGTTGCTCCAAGCCCCTGTGTCCAACCTGGCCTTGAACACTGCCAGGGATGGGGCAGCCACAGCTTCTCTGGGCACCCTGTGCCAGCGCCTCAGCACCCTCATGATCAAAAAAAGCCTGATGTCCAATCTAAAACTACTCTCATTCAGTTTGAAACTGTTGCCCTTTGTCCTGTCACTACAGGCTTTGGTAAAAAGTCCCTCTCTGTCTTTCTTATAAGCCTCTTTCGGCACTGGATCTGCTCTAAGGTGTCCCCTTGAGGAGCCTTCTCTTCTCCAGCTGAACCAGCCCAGCTCTCTCAGCCTGGCTCCAGAGCAGCGCTGCTCCAGCGCTCACTTCATGTCCTCCGCTGGACTCGCTCCAACAGTTCCACATCCTTCTTATGCTGGGGCCCCAGAGCAGGACACAGGACTGCAGGGAGGGGTCTCATGAGAGCAGAGCAGAGGGGCAGAATCACAGAACCATCAGGGTTGGAAGGGACCTCTGGAGAGTCCAACCCTCATGTATCTAGTCCAACCCTCATGTATCTAGTCCAACCCCTGCTGGTCACGCTCCTTTTGATGCAGCCCAGGATACAGTTGGTTTTCTGAGGTGCAAGTGCACGCTGCTGGCTCATGTCTGGTTTTTTGTTCACCAGTACCCCAAGTCCTTCCCTGCAGGGCTGCTCTCAATCCATTTATCCCCTTCTGTACTGATATTGGGGGCTGCCCCGACCCAGCTGCAGGACCTTGCCTTTGGCCTTGTTGAACTTCAGCTTCACATTATGCCCACTCTTCAAGCCTGTCAAGGTCCCTCTGGATGGCATCCCTTCCCTCTAGCAAATCAACTGCACCACTCAGCTTGGTGTAACCTGAAAACTTGCTGAGCGGGCACCAGAAACCACTGTCTGTGTCCCTGGTGAAGTACTGGTCCCAGTATGGATCCCTGAGGGACACATCACACTTCGATTTGAACGCAGCTTACTGAGCTCTGCAGGGAGGGACTTCACTGCCTGGATTTCCAGTCAACCGCATAAAGGAAAAACAACAGCTTCTGGTATTTTTTTCCCCATCTCTTTTTCTTTCTCCCCCGGTTCTGAGTGAAAGATTGCTGCAACTCACACAGGAAACTGATTGCCTGGGAGAAACACTGCAACTGATTCAGCAAGTGCCACTGAATCCCCAAGGTCAGAAGAGGATTTCTCCCTGGCTAATCACCCTGTTGCAGAAGCATTAAATTACTTGTAAGGACAGCAGTTAAAATGTTTTCAGACAGGAAGAGTGATGTTCAAGCAAACAGTCCCTCCTTTAAGTTCTCTGCTCGTTTTTGGCATGAATGTAGCCTTTTGTATCACTGTCATGGAAAAGGACTAAAAGTGCCACTAAAGGATATCTGGGCACGTGGTAGAGGAATGTCCTAATGGTAATAATACAAACAACATGATGTTGTTCTTGTGGGGATTTCATACTGGCTCAGTTATTTCTTGGAATAAATGAAAGCACAGTGTCCCATAGCCCAGCTCCTGAGAGGGAAGAAGGGTGCTCCTGGAGCCAGGCTGAGGAGAGATCCACAGGATGTCAGCATCTTACTCCATCACAGTTTGCAGGGATGGGCTTTCCTATCAGGAATCAACCACTAGCACTTAGGCAATACTGTAAATACCAAGAAAGATCACTGTTACTACAGCAGTACCTAGTAGTACCATCACAGATGAAATTTACCTGTTGGAACTACAACTCTCCCCCCTTTCTTCTCCCAAACTCAAGGGAAGAGGTTAAACCAAGCCTCAGAATTTGCTCCATTACAAGCTTACCTACTGAGTAACACTGATCTCTGCAGTGGGTGATGATGCTATTTCAACAGTGCTGCTGCACCTACTGAAAAGCATTGCTTTTATCATAGTGCTGCTCAAATTAGAGTTTGTTGGGGTTTTTTCCTAAGTCATTTTGAACTCCTTTTTCTTCCATTTAACTTATTTATGAAAGCTTTTAAGGAAGAAGAGATACAGATACAGGGATTCACCTTCAGAATTCTGCAGATTATTAAGCTTAAGAAAGTATAAAAAAATGTTTGTCATTTAATGATAACGTAAGAAAGTCTGACAGCAACTCTGTAAGATGTGTTAGGACCATGACATAGCCACAACTATACTTTATCACACAACTGCACCAGTTGAAAGGATCACCTGGTGGTCCCCATGTCCAGCCTGCTGCTCAAAGCATGGCCAACTAGATCATGATGCTCTGGGCTTGGAATATTTCCAAGGATGGAGATCCTGCAGCCCTGTTCAACCACCCTTGCATTGAGAAAGCTTTTCCTTACATCACATGGAAATTTTCCATGTGTCCAATGCCTCTTGTGCCTCTGAGAAGAGTCTGAGTCCACCTTCTCTGCACCATCCCATGAGGTGGTTGTGGACAGCCATAGGGCTCCTCCTGAATCATCTTCTCTTCCAGTTCTCTCAGCCTTTCCTTACATGTCACTTCACATAAGTACTTCACCACTTACCTGCTTCAATACCGTAAGTCTTGGTGACTCTCCACTGGACTCAAGCCAGTATGTCCATGTCTTTCTTGCATGGGGAGAGAGGGACAAAACTGGCCACAGATGTGGTTGCAAAAGGTTCCCTGCCTCCTTTCACTGCCAAGAGACTTACAGAAGCTCTTTTCATTGCCTTATGTCTCCTATGTTGGCAATCTGTATGTCAGGACAAGACACAGGCTCTAAAATAAGCTCTACTCTGCAATACAGCCTGTCTTTTGGTAACTTGGGTATTTTCCCTACTACCTCAGATTTCAAAAGAATAGAATCCAGTTCAGAATATCTGGTCTAATACCAGTTCTTAATATGTTGTGATCAGAGAGGTTACAGGTACATGTGTTCTTCTGGAAGTGAGAAACACTGACTGCCAAGAAACCCCCCCAGCACAAGGTCCTCACACTGACTTAAGAAACCTGTTTCCTCAAGAGAAGGACCACCACCATTCTTATAAGCATCAGACTCATCTTGGTCCCACTATTATCTTCCTCCATCTCTCCCCAGTCCAGCCATCAACAACTCAACTATTTACAGAGCAGGCACAGTCAGATGCAGCGCAAGCCTCAGAGTTCTGGTTGGAGACAATCACTGTCATTATGTTTTCAAGAGTTCTTTGCATCTCTGGTATCCGGAAGAGAAAAATAATTACCTTACAGGAACATTGAGTTTCTAACCTTAAGAGCCTGACTTCACAAACTGGGATCACTGGCTTAAAATTAACACAAGCTCTCCCTGTAGAAGCTATTTTTAACAAGTGAATGAAAGGGAATAAAAATAAGACTGCATATTTTAATAGACTTAACACACGTCAGAAATTCTAATCCCCTTACACTCCCTGTGGCTGAGAATATGTTCTGATTCCACATATGAAAGAAAGCAAAACCCATACCTTTTATTGCACCCACAATATTTTGGTCTAGTCCTTTCCGGTTGTCATTGAGCCCTCTTTTCCTTTTGCCATTTGGTAAAGAGTTAGCCAAAGTCTTGTCATCAAAAAATGCACAGACCAGCTTCCTAAAGAGCAGACTTCCTGAGCGAGTATAGTTTGATAATATAGAGTCCAGCTGAGATTTCGGCATGAAGACGTCAAAGCCTTCTGCAAGTTGCACTTCTGGCTACCAAAAGAATACAAATGTTTTAATTAAAGGAGCATTCAAAGATGTTATTTTACTTCAATCATGCACTGGTGAGACTTTACAATCACTTAATCAAACCCTGAATCTTTTGCCAACTATTCAGTACCGCAGCAGCCTACTTCATTGAAATCAAACCCCATCAGTGAATAAGCACCTTAAAAGGCAAATCAAATAATCATACTCATGTCTAGCCACTGTAATAGGTGACAATTACTGACATTATTTCTAAGCGTGCAGCTAACAAAAAGAAAAGAGATACCTTTCAATATTGGAGAATAATGACAAACCAGAGGATCATCCCAGAGCAATACTCCTATGCAATGCTTTCTGGACATTTATCTAACCATTTTATGGACTTGTTTCACTGCCAAATGATGTGAATGAGTGGGCTGTGGGGCAGCCAGGCATTTCCAAGCAGCACAAATGCAGGGCTACTGGCTGTTCCACATGGGCTTCCAGCACAGATGAAGCCCACAGCAGTAGATGATGAGTTTGAGGTTGCTCTTGGAGTCAGCACCTGCTGATCATCCATGTTTCCTTCCTTTCCATGTTCCCCAAATGCAGCCTTAGAAAAGAATGATGTTATGTATACAGCTTATTTCAGCACAGTGGGAAATCACAGGGATTTACATGGCTGCTAGAAAATGAGATGGAGGCAAAGAAGAGGAAACAAAACCATCCCGTATCTCACAAGAGTCTCAAGTGCATTGGGGGCCAAAGCAGACAAAGTTCTTCAAGGAAGTCCCCTTACTAAGAGTCTTTTTGCTGCCCCTGTCTGCACATATCAGAAATTACACAATCAATATTTGCAGTGTTTTCTTCTGTGACTACACAAGATATCTGTACGAAATAATTATGTATCTAGCATGAAGACACATCTTGAATAAACTAACATTTTTAAGGTATTATGTGGAAGCTGGGGAGAAGAGGGTAACTGCGGTCATGATGTGAGAAAATAAGCTTGCTCCTAATAACTTGCTCTTTTTTCCCCCCTACATGAAAATATATCCATCAGTGACGGTGTGTTTTCAAAGATGTTTACAGAGCAAGAGCAAATGCCATCTCCCATCAAATCACCTGCAAACGTCTTGAGTCTAGACAGAAGAAAGGGCTGCCAATCTCAGGAGGATCTGGCTGTGTAACTCTTTTCCCATGGATTTTTAAAAGCCAGTATCAAGAGAGTTACAGGAAGCAGTATATTTTCAAAGCATATTCTATCATTGGATATGATTCTATGATGTACATGTGTATTTTGCAATAAAACTGGAGATTACAATGCTTTGTGAAGCCAGGATGAAGCATTTTTAAGTATTCAGGCAGCAATTAAAATCTAAAAGGCATATTTCTCAGCATTTCAAAACGCTGGATCCAGCAAAACAGAGTAACTCTGACATTTGACAGTCTTCTGATGTAGGAGGGTTTTTAACGTGTTACTTCTAAAGTTTCTGGTGACAGGAGCGATTTTCAAAAGTAAAAAACATGGACCAAGTTTACAATTTGGGAAAGACTCTACTTCATGGTAATCAAAAACCAGAATGTAGTTGTCATGGTGATAAAGGTATCCTGTCCTATTCTGTTATTTGGGTCTTGGGTCTTATGATAGTGATCTAAGATAACCTCGATGAGACAAGATGCCTAGGGCGGACAAATCATCTTCACTAACCATAGAATCACAGAATCATAGAATTGTTCAGGTTGAAAAGACCTTCACTGAGTCCAACCTTTACCCCAGGACTGCCAAGTCCACCACTAAACCATGTCCCTAAGTGCCACATCTACATGTCTTTTAAATACCACCAGGGACGGTGACTCCACCACTGCCCTGGCAGCCTGTTCCACTGCTTGACAACCCTGCTGATGACGGCATTTTTCCCAATATCCAGTCTAAACCTCCTCTGGCACAACTTGAGGGCATTTCCTCTGGTCCTATCACTTCTACTTGGGAGCACAGACCAGCCCCCACCTCGCTCCATCCTCCTGTCAGGCAGTTGCAGAGAGCGATAAGGCCCCCCCTGAGCCTTCTCTTCTCCACACTAAACCCCCCAGGTCCCTCAGCCCTTCCCCATCACACTTGTGCTCCAGGCCCTGCACCAGCTCCATTCCCTTCTCTGGCCCCATCCAGCACCTCAATGTCTCTCTTGCAGTGAGGGGCCGAGAGCTGAATACAGGGTTCGAGGTGCAGCCTCACCAGTGCCCAGCACAGGGGGATGGATGATCACTGCCCTGGCCCTGCTGCCACACTGGGGCTGGTACAACCACCACAAGCCAATTACTCCTGTGGTAACTTTTCTGACA